AATACAGTAAAGACTAAAATTATTAAAAAATACCACAAAGCTGATGCTTTAAAGGTTAGTAAGTACTGAAGTTTATAACTCTTGTCATTAAAGAATCAACCTTTGTTTTTCTGTTTGTGGTTTTATAATTACCAATAAAAACAAACAAATGAAAAATAAATGGCTTTAGGACAGTTCCCAGAGAAAAACAGTCAGATATGAGTGAAAACACTATAACTGTTACTGAAGCTAGTTTATTTTCACTGAATCCTTGTTTAATTACCTTTAACCAGCGATACTCGAGTTAGTGAGTTTCTGCCCCTTTTATGTTGTTGGTCAGAAACTGAAAAGTGTGAGAGCCAGAGGTTTTAGTGTCACGCTTACAGCAAAAACTATCAAGTGCTGCGTATTAAAATCTCATTTAAAAAGCTCATAAAAAATAACAATCTGAATTCAAACATTTTTATTTGTTTTGCTGCAAATGCAAAATATATAAAAAGTATGTCCAAGTCGTAAGAGACAAATGATTAGCTGTAAAACTGTGACCAGGACAGACTGAGATACATTTTGTGAAATGACAAAAGTCAATAGCTTATACAGTACATTCTCTTTTGTTCATTTTTATACACAACTGTGTTAAAGAATGGCATTAACATGAAACATWTTAATCTAAAGCTACAATTAGATACAGCCATGTGTATCAGTTTATATAAAAACCTCACTGTGAGGAAACAACAATCTTTGCCAAGGGTGGACTGTAGACGGATAACTCCTACCGCTCAAAACATGTAATAAATAAATTCTTAGACTTCAGAGCTCGCTGTCTATAAACAGGCTTTCATCACCAGACAAAAATTGGCCTAATGACTTGTCTACGGCACAACTAACCACAGTTCACCGGCAGCACCGTGTCTRTGTGGTCACAGCTTGTGTTGTTTTCAGACCACCGTCACCTCAAAACAGTCGTTGTCCGACYTCCTTAAAAAGCAACACGTTCTGTACTCATTTGGCAGTCGCCACGTCTGGAAGAAAAAGACCAAAAGTGACAAAAAATCCCTTCAAACTGGAATTATTTTTTATTTTTTTATTTTTTATTTATTTTTGAATGAAGAAATGTTAGTAAACAGCAGTAATCATCATGACTATTTTAGTCTACTTTTGTCAAAGTTTATGTTTTTCAGCCAATCTGATTAAGTTTGTTATTAATAAAAAAATAAATCACTTGACAGTTGGAGGCACAGATCTGTCTTTACCTTTGCTCACGTCATACAGCTGAAAAACATTTTAGGTTACAGTTAGTATAAAAATGTAAAAACACCTGTCTCATTTTTTAAAGTGTTTTTGTTGTCGGATATCACCGAAGGCGAGAGGCCGTGAGGTGTTTGCCCGTTTGTATGTTTGCGTTCGCATAATATCTCATGAASCAGTGGACGAGTTTTGATGAAACTTTCAGAYAATAATCTTGTGGATTTAGATTTACAATTTATTGAGATTTGGAGTTAACCCCAGTTCAAGATAGCTGCCACTTAGCAAACACAAAAATGGCTACGACTCTGCTAACTGATATTGAGCTACAATTTGGTTTGGCAMTAGACTCAGCATATACTACAAGAAGCACACTTTTTGTGTGTMTTTTTCCCAATAATGGATTTGAATGAAACTTTCAGAAAGTATGTTTCTCTAAAATGGATTAACTTTTTGAAGTCAACTGAATTCAAAATGGCCGTCACAAACCTGTACTTTGCTAACTCAGAAATGGGTTAAAATTTGGTACAGTAGTAGCTGAGAGTCTTTCACAGCACATACTTGGAGCGATAYCAAATCTTTCAAAATCTCGCATCATCGCATAAGACCTTGTATAATGCCATGTTTGACGCAAGTTTCTTCAACTCAAATGCAAATGTTTGGCCTTTAATGTCTTAAGGTCATCACATGGGTTCGCCCTCTTACCTCGCTGTGTGGCATGCTGTGATGGAAACCCACCATTCCCGACACTAACTTTTCTGATCTGGTTGTGTAGAGTTGTCTGGGGATCTGCAGAGACAGAGAGGAGAAGCATTTCCGACTCATCCCACCAAAGATTTATGTTCTACCACGTTAAAATGCGGATACAGCGAAGACTTGAGAAGAATCTACTCCAGGGGAGAGTTAAGACCTACGAAGCAGAGCCAAAAGTTGTGTGCTTGCAGGGAGGAAGACCCCACAGCTGAGGATGGTACTCAAAAAGYGGAAAATAAAACCTATAGATACAGAATTATCATTATGGGTTAGACTTTTGTTAGAGGTTTGAGTTTAGTACTGAGTCAGGTTAGTTGGTTMCTGGGAGCACCTCGATACTCAGTCGGATATTTTCGATTGAGGCAAAATGTTCCTGCTCAGACTGTTGGGACTGGGACGAGGCAGAGCTCGAAGGACACTGTAACGTGGACACGTGCGTTAAGATGCCGTCGTCGTTCTCAAACACGGGGTTCTCCCTCAGKGTGTTTTCAAAGGCGTACGGCGCGAGGGTGTGCCTGAGGAAGGCGAGGGGGTGCAACACATCAAATGACTCCCGATGGAGGGCCAAACAGGTTTTGCAAACAAAATGTGAGAGAGGAGGGAAAAAAAACAAAGACTTACACCAAAGTTARAGCCTTTCTGGGTTTTACACACTTCTTGTTGATGAATATTAAAACACCAATGATGGCACAAACGAGGCAGAGACTTCCCACGAGGCAGGTTATAATGAGAGGAGGGTCTACYGGCACCGATACCAGCTCGCTGCAGCGCTCTCCGTGGTAATGCCAGTACTGACCCACGGGGCATCTGAAACAAAACACAAAACACACAGAAAGGCACCCTCAGAGAGTTATCTGAAGGACTTAGTGGAATTAACAAAAGGACCGTTTCACTTTGTTGTTTTTTTTTTGTTGTTTTTGTCTTTTTTTTCTGTGAGGTGTTTGAAAACAGAGCGTGATTGCTTTCAGCTTCTGAGAACAAAGGTTTCTAGAAAAATACTTTGTAGCAAAGCAATAAATATGCATGAAATAATATTTAAATTCATCAGACCGGTTTGATGTTTCAAAAAGTTGCGTCACGTCATCTCTTCTTTTATCAAACTATAAAACTGAGGAGACGAGATGTAAAAACAGAGTTCAGCTCCACGAATCTTTAGGTTTTTGTTTTAGTTTCACAAAGWGTTTCATGTTTTTCAGTCGGACATGTTTGGCCGCTAAACCTCTTTACTCCAGTACCGTGCTTTTGCAAAACATGACGAGGTGTTATGTTAAAGCTTTTGAAAGAGTTACAGTAAATCCCTTCAACACGTCAGGTGTTGTTATTTATCGTGTACCTGCAGCTGACTCCGTGACCTGGGATTATTTCACACAGGCCTCCATTCAGGCAGTAATCTGGCTGCAGGGTGCAGGCGCTCTGACAGGGAGACCCATCCACGGTGCTGTAGCCGGGGTCACACAGACACTCGCCCTCGTTGGTCCGGCTGTTCAGCACGCAGCGGGAGAACTCGTTGCAGGCCAGGAACTTGCAGGGATCTGCTTGGTCAGCTGAAGCCAAGGGGGTGAAAATTAGCAGAGAGGTGCTTATTGTGTGACTGCTGAATCAGCGTTCACACTTGGACTCCTGTTTTCYTTTATTTTATTTTCAATCTAATTACTGTTGCCCTCTTAGCTGTTCATATATGAAACGGTTCAGCTCACTCGGGAAATGGGTGCCATGGGTTTTGTTTTTGTCAATTTTATGCTTTTCAAAATATTTCACTTTTTTTACATATATTTTCCCCATAGAAAAAACACTTTAATTCATTCATTTACATTGTTGTCATTAAAATCTGTATTAGCGCACAGGCTTTATTGTTTTATGCTTCTTCAAGGTTTTATTTATTAATTTATTTGTTTATTTATTTAGCTTTAAGCAAGTGTTTTGCTTGTTAATTTGAGCTTTCAGCTACTGTTCTACTGCTTTTAGCTAGCTTTTTGCTAATTTTAGCTTTTACATAGCCTTTAACCACTTTTTCCCTTTCTTAGCTTTTTGTTATGTTTACTCTTTAGTCTTTTGCTACTTTAATTTCCAGTTATCTTTCTGGTAATTTTAGCTTTTGTCTAGCCTTTACTAGCCTTTTCATATATTTTTTTTAATTTTAGCTAGCTCATTGTTGTTTTTAGCTTCTAGATAAATTTCTGATACTTTTTAACCTTTGACTACTTTGAAGTTTTGGCTAAAGTTTAACTAGTGTTTAGCTTTTATTTTTAATTGTTAGCTTGCWTTTTGTTMGCTTTTAGCTTCTAGCTACCATTTTGCTACTATTTCCTTTTTCTAGCTTCTAGCTGGAGTTGTGCTATTTTAACAGGTATTCAGCTACTTTTGGCCTTTTTCAGTTTTAGTTTGCGCTTTGCTCTTTTTAGCTTGGACAATTCAGTTTCAGCTTCGTCAGCAAACTTTGGCAAAGTCATGTTGCATTTTTACTGAAAATGCAGTTTTTCTAGTTAAACAAAGAGCTGGAGGGCTGGTCTGAGTTCAGGTGTTTGCGTGTAACGTGTAAAATACAYAAGTAGGACAAAGCAGCATTAGCAGGGACACCTCACCTGGCTCAACCTCCAAAGACCGACTGTCAATCTCAATGTCAAGCCGCGCAGCTGCTGCGTTGCAGAAGTCCTCCAGAACACAGTGGACAGCCTTTGTGACGTTATACGGGACCGGCCGGTCCAGTTTCATCCTGCTGTTCACCACAACACTCCCATTCCTGAAGTTGAGAATCTCCAGCTGCTTGAATCCAGTCAGATTTGACTGTAAATACGGCAAAAGCTGCATAAAAAGAGGGAAATACGATTATTCAACCYTTTTATTTTAATATCAGTTTCCTGAAGATTAGTGTAGCTGGAAATTAGCTTTCGACAGGAAGYCAGAGTTTAGTATTCATTAGTGTTCATTTATCAGAGGAAGGGTGGAATAAATAAAATAAAGTGGATTCATGTCAGTGTTAGGTGTCAGCAGAGATTTGAGACACCCTGGGGAGACGAAACAAACTGTTGTTCATCCCATCATTTTTAGCTTCAGTAATGACAGAATTGTTGTCATTTCACTGCTGATTTGTGTTATTTAGGTCACATTTATTGGTGAATTCTATGAATAGTTCATAATTAAATTTTGATGCYGGCATAAAATCCTGTCATTTCTCAGGGGCTGTGTCATAAGATGCAGAATAAAACGAGAGCGATGTTTATAAGCATTAGCTCATGCTAATTCCAAAATAAAATCTATAAATAATGTTTGGTAAAACCTTGACGATGTATGCTTTATAGTAGCATGTAACATGCACCTGCTTCTAATCATCTACACTGCAAAAACTGTCCATCTTACCAAGTTTTAAACTCTTACATCCAGCCAAAAAGTCTTTTTGATCTTGTTTTGAGACTGGTAAGATTCTTGAAATAAAAAAAAAACTGAGTCAAATCAAGTATTTCAAGAATCTTACCAAGTAAAATTTTCTTACTCCATTGACAGAAATTTTTTGATTTAATTGGAGTCAAATTTTCAGACCAACAAGACAAATAATCTTACACATTCTGAAAACAAGATTATTATCTTACACAATCAGTTCTTGTTTAGTAAATCAGTCTCAAAACAAGATCAAAACAACTTTTTGGCTGGATATAAGATTTTAAAACTTGGTTAGTTGGACATTTTTTGCAGTGTAGTCCTCAATTAGACAAAAAAAAGTTCAACTAAATAGATTTATTACACTCTAACTATTAAAGGCAATTTGTTAAAGCTAGGGTTGGGCGATATTGGGGAAAAAAATTATCAGGATTAATTGTGACATTTAGCCAATAACAATAAAAATGATTATTATTAGATGACAATTGCAATTGCATGTGGCCAGCATTAGCCTTTGGTCCGCTGTTTCTGGTTTTCCTCGTACTTTACTATATGTCGGTGTTTCAGGTGATTAAACAAGTTTGCAGTGTTTGTGTAAGCATCACTGCCTTCCACCATTGGGCTCTTATATAAGCCTGACAGTGATGTCGTGTCAGACAATAATAAAAAAAATCATAATGTGGCACTAATTGCAGTAATTGCAAAGTGGCAAATATTAATTTTTGACAGTTTTGCCCAACGCTAGTTAGAGCTTTAAGTTTGTTTTGAGGTGACTCTCAGCTGTAAACTGTAAACTGTAAAATTGACTGACTTGGAGTCATATTTATTTTTTTAAGGTCAGCTGGCAGCCATCCTAAAATGTAATTAGCTGTAGATGAATACCCAGTGATCACTTTCTGAGTTTCATTTTTTTTTCCTATGGACAAATAACCACACACAGAGACATGGACAAAAACATTTTCACCTTTTGCCTCAGACAGCGGGCGTCAAAAACAGAGCCTGCCTGCAAACGCAGCTTGTAGGACTGCTAAGACCATCGCTCGATATCTATGAACCATTTTAAGAGACAGTAGATTAAAGAAGCTATCAGAYAAAGCCACAAAACCTTCTCACACTCATCCACAATTATTGCTTTTCCGTTTATCGCCCGCCGCCGAAGGCCAATGGGGAGATAATGTGTTTGCTTCTGCCTCTATGGGTGTGTGTTATTGAAGCATTTACAGTAGTTTTTACACACTGCTTCAATAGGATGACTTAGTTTTCACATWATAAAAACCTGGTAAGGGCCAGATTATGGTATTTTTTTATTGCATCCTTAAATGTGAAACCCTAAAGTCAAAAGAGGATGTACAGTAATTACTTTTTATCCCATCGGAACAGCCATGCATGAAATTTGGGAACTCTTAAGAAACCGAAGTCATACTTTGGCTCCAGGGGAACCAAGAATATACACTTTGCTGAATCTAATATACTTATTTATCCATTTCCTGAAACTTTAATCCTCATTTCTCCATGCCTTGTAGTAATGCATGTTAATAGGACAGTGTCAAAATGTAACTGCAGCTAAAAGTTTTGCAGCATTGCGGCCTCTGATTCTCATGGGGTGAGCATATTTTGACGCTGAGATGAAACTACATTTTAAATGCATTAAATAATGACTTAATTGAGTAATAACTTAACCCACTCAGAGCTCACGGCGCACATGACGAACGTCAATCCTGCTCGCTGCGAGAGGGCGAGATTACAATACCTTAGCAGTGTCGGGCTGTTGTGCGGGAGATAAGAGGACTTAAGGAGCTCTGCTCTGATCGGGTTACCTCACCTATCACTGACAGGCAGTTCAGAGAGGGTACAGTTCCACATAACTGGTGGAATCTCACGGAAAAGCTACTTAGATAGTTCAATATCCAGAACAAAAATAGGAAATGACCTGCAGCGCAACTGCACACAGCACCGAGCACCTTAACAACCAATCACATACGACTCTGCTACGAGAAATAAAAAGTATTTCTCTGCCGTCTACAATACACCACTGTACTTCCACAGACAGCAAGGCACAAACACACCCCCGAGCTTCACACACAAGGTTACACATGTATCTACTGGTTCTTCTTGTTTAAAGAAAAGTAAAGAAAAAAGAACAAGTCAAATATCCCCTTGCTGGTATCGCTGAAGAGTCACAAGAAATCTAAATGCAGTATAAAACKGTGTTTCTGATTTACTGTAGCATGGGAAACTCATTTTAAACTCCATGTCCAGTTTTATTGGTTGCTTCACAAACCAGTAGGTACAGGAGTAAGTGAGGCAAAACACAGGGGAACTGCAAGGGCGAATAATACACACACATACTGTATGTATGTATGTGTATGTATGTATGTATATATATATATATATAACTTTTACAAATGGGCTCCAACAGCCAGCAAATCATTTCACTGTGCATTTAAATGGGCTGCCGAATGTGTTCAAAAATTGAAAATTTACTCGTGATCATTTGTGCTTTTCCAATGATTTATAAAGCATGCTGGATGAGTTCAATAGAAATACCTGAGCCCATTTAAAGGAAGAAAATACTACATGGTTTACCAGTAAAGAACACTAAATACTCACCAGTTCAAACATCTGATCTGAGTTTTTGCTGGGAAGCTAAACGGATCAGTTAACGAGCAAAAACCATGGTTTGGGCAACCACAAAAAATTGGAGATGGAGTGTTGTTGTTTTTTTTACCTTTTTTAATGCTTCTTATACACTGTAAAAAATGAAATGTTGGATTTACTTAACCATGTTATGTGACCTGGTTCCACTTAACTGAGTTGAGTAAATTCAAAGCAATATACCAGTTTTTTAGCCAAAGAACATGAGTATGTTGCTTTGAATTTACTCAACTCAGGTGGAACCAGGTCACATAACATGGTTAAGTAAATCCAACATTTCATGTTTAGAGTGTATACAAATACATTTTTTTTCTTTGGATGTGCAAACTCATAACATGAGTCACATCATGACACATAAGTGAGGATTTAATTAAAGGGATCCCTGATTAGCTGTAACATTAGACTTTATTTGATAAACATTTATTTTAACTGTAAAATAAAGATTGTAAAAATACAGTAGGCTGTTTAGTTTTGTAAATTTTTAAAAATATATTTTAACATGGAAGGAGCCATTTTATTTACACACWAAGCATTCTGGGTAAATGATGATGTGGATTGGTCCTTGGTGTGAGCGAGCTATATCCACCCTGAAGGTTAATCTTGGACAATATCTGACGATCGACCATTTTAAATGAAACCAGAGAGCGTTGACAGAGAGGAGAAGGTAGAAATGACAGCCTGTAACTGAAAATATAGATGGAGGACAACAGAGCTGCTTCATGGAAGAAGAACCTCAGCTTAGCCTGTTAGCCTTTGTGCTAGCACCAACACTATATTGCCTTATATGTATTAGCTTGGTGCTAACGCGACAAACTAATAAGCTAAACTGAGGTC